TTCAAAACTGGCAACAGTTTCACAAATAGAGGGCGGCTGGTTTTGAAAATGTGGCTCTCGTCGTAGCGCCGCGTAACAACGTTTTAAACATTCGCAAGAGCTTCAAGGATTGAGGGCGGGTCGTTTTCAAAATGTGGCTCTCGCCTCAGCGCCGCGCACATTCGTTGCGAAAACTTGCAAGAGCTTCACGGAATGAGGGCGGGTCGTTTTCAAAATGTGGCTCTCGCCATTGCGCCGCGAACAGTCTTTTCACAAATTCGCAAGAGCTTCACGGATTGAGTGCGTGCGTTTTCAAAAAAATGTGGCTGTCGCCTTAGCGCCGCGCACATTGAGGGCGTGTCGTTTTCGAAATGCGGCTCTCGCCTAGCGCCGCGCAACGTCGTTTTTGAAATTTGCAAGAGCTGCACGGATTGAGGGCGGGTCGTTTTGAAAATGTAGATATCGCCGTAGCGCCGCGCACATTCGCTTCTGTGAAAATTCCAAGAGATTCACGGATTTAGGGCGGGTCGTTTTCAAAATGTGGCTCTCGCCTTATCACCGCGCACACTCAACCTAAGAAGTTGCAAGAGTTTCACTGCATCTCGTGGTGAACGTACCAGAAATTGTGTTTTCAAGCTGCTCAGGAGTGTCAGGGCGCAACAGATACATTGATTCGCGGTGTCGAAATCCCAGGAATGGTTTTCTGGCACGGATCTGGATCGCCAGGACGTAACAGTGAAGTTAACTCAAGGCGTTGAAGTCCTGAGAATGGTGTCTTAACACGCTTCAAGATGTTAATACGGTGGTCCCCAAACGGAGCAATTCCCCCAGTGGAAATGACCCCTTGTAAGGGGCCTATGAAGAAGGATCTTGGAGGGAAGGTATATTTCAACATCGTTGATGAGTCTTGGATTTACACTGGTCCTCCTCCGCCTCAGCCTCGGCCTCCTCCTCCTTCTCCTCCGCCTCGGCCTCATCCTCCTCCTCCTGATGCTTCATCCTGATATTTCTCCGTGCACGCTATCTCTCCTTCTCGTCAGCGTCGTCATCATCGTCATCCTAATCAGAATCAGCATCATCAGCACCACCATCATCACCACCACCACCACCACCATCATCATCAGCAGCATCAGCAGCATCAGCAGCAGCATCAGCACCATCATCAGCATCATCAGCATCTTCAGCAGCATCATCATCATCATCATCATCATCATCATCAGCATCATCATCATCATCATCATCATCATCATCATCATCATCATCATCATCATCATCATCATCATCATCATCATCATCATCATCATCATCATCATCATCATCATCATCATCATCATCATCATCATCATCATCATCATCATCATCATCATCATCATCATCATCTCATCATCACCCATCATCGTCATCATCAGCAGCAGCAGCATCAGCATCATCCTTGTCATCGCCGACATCATCATCATCATCATCATCATCATCATCATCATCATCATCATCATCATCATCATCATCACCATAATCAGCATCAGCATCATCATCATCATCATCATCATCATCATCATCATCGTCATCATCGCCATTATCGTCATCGTCATCGTCATCGACACCATCATCGTCCTCATCATCATCAGCATCAGCATCAGCATCAGCATCATCATCAGCAGCAGCATAATCGTCGTCATCATCAGCAGCAGCATCGTCGTCATCATAATCCGCATGATCAGCATCATCGACATCGACATTATCAGTATCATCATCATCATCATCATCATCATCATCGTCATCATGAGCATCATTAGCATCAGCATCATCATCATCATCATCATTATCATAATCATAATCATCCTCATCGCCAGCATCATCAACACCAACAGCAGCAGCAATAACAACATCATCGTCGCCGTCGACATCCTCATCATCTTTACCGTCCTCATCATCAGCATCATCGTGGTCGTCATCATCATCATCATCATCACCATCGTCATCATCATCATCATCATCATCATCGTCGTCAGCATCGTCATCATCATCATCACATCATCGTCATCATCATCATCATCATCATCACCATCACCATCACCATCATCACCATGATCATCATCATCATCATCATCATCATCATCATCATCATCATCATCATCATCATCATCATCATCATCGGCATCCGGATCGAGCGCCGCACCCGACGAACGTGAGGCGCTGGCCACCGTCGGTTAGAATCAGAATCAGACGGCGGGATAACACCTCAGGAAGCGTCCGCAAAAACACACTACGGACAGGAAAGGACCTAGCAAGCGCACTGCCCGCTGCCACCGCTTGAGTTAGTGCAGGACGTCACGCCCATTCGAGGGAGAAGGAGGGAACGAAGCAGGATAAATAACGGCACACGAGCCAGGCATCAAATCAAATGTGCTCTAATGCAAACCAGGCTCCATCGTGCCAGCGGTGTCGTGAGCGACGAGCTGGCAGCCTCGAATCCGTGCGTCCATCATGAACGCTGTAGCTGTTCAGCTGCGTTCTCCGGTTTGGGAGCCAGCGCTCGCAGTGCAAAAGCTGCGCCATCAAAGAACGACGGTTTCGTAGTTTTTAGACGAGCTCGCGCCAATCCAGCACCCGAGTGCAATGACGACGGCTCCACCAGCGCCACCGACAGAGGTCCCTAGCTTGCCGGGCCCTTCGGCGGAAATATGCTGGCGCGTCTTCGCCACGCTGCCGTGGCACCCGCACCAGAAGACGGACCATGCGGCGCTGACAGAAATCGATGCGCCCCTCCAAATTAGCGGCTGCTGGACACCAGCTGCATCGATAATCGAACACAGGAAGCACCTAACGATCAAGCAGACGCAGCGGCAGCCCCAGAGGTACGTCTCGCAGTCGATGCATCGCACAAGTTGCAGAAGCAGCACGCCACGTAGCAGCCGTAGTCCTGTCGACAGACATCGTGCACGATCCCATCTCCCCCGGGATGTGGCCCAGGGCTTCACAAGACGCGGACGGTTTCTGATGGGCCGATTTTCCACCATCATTACCATAGGTAGGAGAGGGAGGAGGAGGAGGAGGAGGAGGAGGAGGAGCAGCAGAAGGAGGAGGAGGAGCTCCCCATCCTCCCTTCTCCCCCGTCCTACTTATGATACTGGTGGTGAAAAACTGACCCGTCAGCTTCCAAGGCCAAAACGGATGGCCTCTGATGACCGTTAGAGGAGCGTTCAAGGGGGAGCACTTGGCGACTCAGTGGGCGGGCAAGATGAACCGCCTCCCAAAAAAGACGCCATTTGGCGGGCTACGCCTCCTTCGTCTTGGGCGCAGCACAGGCTGCACAACCTCCACCTCCTCCTGCTCCTCCTCCTCCACCTACTCCTCCTCCACCTCCTCCTCCTGCTCCTCCTCCTCCTCCTCCTGCTCATTTTCCTCCTCCTCCTCCACCTCCTGCACCTCCTCCTTCTCCTCCTCCTCCTCCTCCTCCTCCCTCCTCCTCCTCCTCCTCCTCCTCTCCTCCTCCTCCTCCTCCTCCTCCTCCTCCTCCTCCTCCTACTCCTGCTCCTGCTCCCTCCTCCTCCTCCTCCTCCTCCTCCTCCACCTCCTCCTCCTCCTCCTCCGCCTCCTCCTCCGCCTCTTCCTCCTCCTCGCCTGAAAGGTGCTCCACGAGTGGCGTCGTGACAAAAGGCCCCAGCGCCTCCCAGCCGCCCAGCGGGCGGGGCCCCAATTGGGGTTCTTCTCCTGGGGCCTTCCTCGGGGACCCTGCATTACGATTGGCTCGGCAATCCCACAGATTCCACGAGGGTTTCCTCAATAATCCTGCGGAGTTCCTCGGTACATCCTGCGGATCTCAGGGGGCCGAAAGGTTTCGTAAGAGATCCCCAGGATGTCCTGAGGCATTCCTCATGAGTGCCAAGGATCGCGTCAGGAATCTTCAGGGCTTCCTCAGGAAAGCCATGGTTTCCTATGGAGTCCTGGGGAGCTAATCGAAAGCCCTGCGGTTCTCCTCACCAAACTCAGCACTTCCTCCTGCGTCCTCAGGATTCCCTGCGGAATCGTAGAACTGGTCCCTAGGACCCCTCAAGAGGTCTCAAAAAATCTGCAGGAATTGCGATGGGACCCTGAAGATTTCCCAGGGATCCTAAGGACTTCCCGAGGGGTCGTTTAGGATATTATCGTGCCCGCGTCACGACGGACTTCGCGCTGCAGTCGCTCGAGGCGCCACCTACCGAGTAGCGCTCCCCCGGCCGATGCGACACAGCTTTCCCGCGCGAGACTCCCGCCCGCGCGCGCGGTGCCCCGTCGCACAGCGAGACACCCCACCGGTCGCGGGGCGAGGAGGAGAAGGAGGAGGAGGAGGAGAAGGAGGAGGAGGAGGAAAAGAAGCGGTTTGCTGACCGGCCGCGGCGGGCCGGGCCCCTGACGGCACGCGGAAGCGCGCCTGGGCAGACCGAGTGAGACTGGCAATCAGACAGACAAGCCACGCACCAGGCGAAGCGCGGGCGTGAACACATGTGGAAAATACAGCGTTCTCTTACTCGGACAACAGGACAGGCCGACAAAGAGAACGCGGGCAAGGCAAGGAACAGGGGCCGACGGGAAAGCGAGGAGCCGAGGAGCGAGAGGGGGAGGGGGCGAGGAGGGACGACAGGAAAGGACAGAACAGGCCGACGGACGGACAGACGAGGAGACGGGGAAGGGAAGGGAAGCCAAGCGAGGAGACGGAGGGAGAGCACACAAGACGCAAGGGCAAGGAAACACAAGGGCAAGGGGGGGAGGACACGGAGAGGGGGAGGAGGGAGGAGGAGCCGAGAGCCAGAGACAGGACAAGGCAGGAAGAAAGGACACACAAGACCAGCTGGCTTGGGCGCACAAGTGGCACTAACGGAAGACTTGCTGCAATCCTGGCTTTGCCATGTTGCTTGTTTGTGGCAATACGAATGAGATGCTTATATAATCAGAGACCGGCGACCGGAGTCTCAAAGGTCGTCCGCCCAGCGCTGGCACGGTCTCCCTGGGCGCCTGCATGCCCGCGTCCTGAACCATGGGGCCCAGTGCAGCAGCCGCGTGTTCCGTTTTCCCAGCGTGCAGGAATCTGTGTTGAAGGCGAATCTCAATTTCCTGTTCGTCTGCGTCGCAACCCAGTCGCCCAATCCTCGCTGGCGGGCCTTCTGCTCGCACAAACGGGTGGATTTTCTGATGTAGTCAACCCACCCCTCCTCGCTCCAGCGCGGGATCTGGAAGATGTTCCTGAGCATTTTGCGCCATGTTCCTCGCAGAATACGACGATGCTCAACGTTCATCGTCCAGCACGAGCTTCCATATAAGGCGGTCGAAGTCACGACTGAATCAAATAGCTTCAATCTCGCAGATAATGGGTACCTCCTTGAGCACAGAGCATGGCGGAACTTGGCAAACGCTCTCCATGCAATGGACATTCGAATCGAAATTTCTGCTCCATGATAACCCTCCAGATTGATGACTCGGCCCAGATACTTCTCGGACCCGCCCGGCGGAATGATCTCTATCTGGGATCCACCAACAAGCACAGAGCTGCCCGCGTAGCCCGGGCGGTTCGTCAGGATCTTCGTCTTGCCGAGGTGGACGCGGAGCCCATATCTGGCTGCGCTCGTCTGGAGGCGGGACAACACGTTCGCAACGTCCTGTTTGCTTTGCGCAAACAGCAGCACGTCGTCTGCGAATCTGAGGTTTTTCAACGGCATCTCCTGGTTGTCTATGAAGAAACCAAAAAAGTGTCCGATGATGCGTCTCCGGTTGAGCCCGTGCCACTTAGTCTTGAGCGCTCTGAAGCAGGACTCCATAACTGCAATAAATAGAAATGCGCTGATCGGGTCCCCCTGCTTTACTCCTCTGGTCAAGCAGAAAGAGCGAGACTCCGCCCCAGCAGCAACAGTGGCAGTCTGATCGGCGTACAGTTTCCGAAGCAGTCCAATGTAGGATTCCTCGATACCAAACTCGCGCAGGACATCCCACAACGCCACGTGCTCCACAGTGTCAAAAGCCTTCTCGAAATCGACAAGCCCCAACCACAAATCCTGATTCCACTCGCCACACTTCTCAACAACCAGCGTTAAAGCGAGAAGATGATCTTCCGTGGAGAATCCTGGGCGGTAGGCCGCTTGATCCTGAGCTTGGCGCGCAATAGTAACATCCTGGAGGCGACTGCAGATCATGCGAGCGAAGAGTTTGTACAATATTGGAAGAATCGCAATAGGTCTGCAATTATTCGGGAGCGTTGGGTCTCCTTTCTTAAACAAAACGACCAGCTTCGTGCGTCTCCACGATTCCGGCGGCTCCTTGTCTGGCGGCAATACTGAGTTGAAAAATGAGAGAAGGCTTTCCCGCAGACTCTGGCTGCTGTTCTTCAACATCTCCGCAACGATGCCGGACGAGTCCCTGCGATTGCCGTTTTTCATGGACCGGATGGCAGCCGTCAGCTCAGGCATCGTGAAATCCGGTGCAGTCTCGCCTGGTGTCTCGCCAAGATGCAGCTGATCCGCCGCCCCCGCGTAGAGCGCCTCGTAGAAAGACGCAAAAATTTCAGCCACGTCCTCTTTCGACTCCTTGACGTTTCCAGAAGAAACTACCACCTTGGCGATGTTCTCTTTTTTCTTGGCTGCCCCTGCGTTTGCAATCGTGCTCAGCCCTTTGAAATCACCAAGGATGTTCTCAATCTTCGCCGCTTTCTGATTTGCTCTTTTTCTCTGGATCATACTCCTGATCTTGTGGCTCAGCGCCTTTCGCTTGGCCGCTTTTTGCCCGGTTGTTAAATCTGCAGATTGCCGAAGTTGACGTTGCTCTGATATGAGGCGGCGGATGTCCGCGTCTTCTGGGGCCGTTGTCGGTTTCTTTTTTGATCGCGGGCGCGCAGAGGCAGCCGCTTCCAGCATGACGCTTTCGATCCGGACTGCAGCCTCAGAAGGGTCACCTGCGTTGGCAAGCTGCTCCTGCAACAACTGATCCAAAGACGAATGATAGCTCGCCAAATCTACATCCGGCCCCCAAGCGGACTTCGAAACGGGAGTCTTTCTCTCGATATCTGAGCCGAGAAGCACGCGCATCCTGACCGGTCGGTGGTCTGACCCGGTGTCGATGCTCGGCGTAACTCTGCACTTCCTCACTCGCGGTTTCCAGCTGGCCGGAACGATCATGAAGTCGAGTTGTTTCCGTGACGATCCATTGGCGTACGTCCGTCCAAAGCTGCTCTGGATCAGCTGAGTCGAACGCGTTGGCAAGGAAGAAATCGTGGAGGGAACACCAGTGAAGCAGCCACTCCCCTCGCTGGTTCCGTGCATTGATCGGGTTTGGTCCCAGGATATTGGCTTCATCATCGTCAATCAGCGATCGCGGTCCGACTTCTGCATTCAAGTCCCCTGCAACAATCAAGTGACCGGGAAAGAGCAGCAGCGAGTCCAAACTTTCGTACACTGCTTCCACGTCAATGTCTGTATATTTGGAATGCGGCATGTACACGCTGACCAGATTCAACTTCGAAGCGTCCCCGGTGAGCGTAAGCATCGCCACTCTCTC